TCCTTCTCAATATGTTCACTAGAACCACGCGCGCGCTTCGCGCGCGCTTAGGTTCTAGCTAGGATCGTCACCGTCGTCATCATGAACATCACCATCGCCATCATTCCCCCCGCCAGGGCTAATGTACATCGTTTCTGGATGCTTCTGGCCGGAATACGAAAGGAGTTTCTGTAGTCAGAGTCTCTGGGGGAAGTCGCGGGGAAGCTTTTGCTGTCTTTGGTGTTGCGTCGCCAGGAGGCCTGGGCTCCCTCCTCCTCGTGTTCCTACCTCCTCTCTGGACGTCCGATGTCGTGATGCTTTCTGTGCGCGGCCCCTGGACCTCTCGACGACTTCCTGGGGATTTTGTTTTTTCATCCTGAGTCGTTTTCTGACAGTCCCGGGACCCTGCGAGGGGCCCCGGAGGCTGAAAATTGACCGAAACCGACGTCGGAGGTCCAGGTCGTGCTTCCCGCCTCCCCAGACCTCCGACGTCGTAATTTTTGCGACCTCGGGCCCAGGAATCGATTGGGAAAACGCACATGGGAAGTCAAGAAATGATGGACCCATCATTTCGTACCTGTGCCTTGATCAGTGGGACGGGCTTCGCACCGCCGCACATCACAAGACACGCTCGAGCGGATCCAGCCGTGGCGACGTCGGGGACTGCAGAAGGTCGCAAGGACACGGAATCTGAAAGGAAGAAAGAGAAAGAGAGAGAAAGAGAGGGAGAGAGAGAGAGACAGACAGACAGAAAGCGAAGGAGAGAGAGAGAGAGAGAAATGGAGAGAGAGAGAGAGAGGGAGAGAGAGAAGAAGACAGAGAGAGAGAGAGGCAGAGAGAGGAAATGGAGAGGAGGCGAACTTGAGTCAACGAAAGTCGCAGGGAAGGGGGCAGGGGGAAAAAGGCCAGAGACCGCTGAAGGATACAAATACTGGAACCCACTTGGGATTTTTTGGGGGGCCTCGTCCGGCCGCTCGCTGGGAGTTTGACGTAGCTTCTCGGGAGCCTCTGAACCTGTCGGGGGCCTCCTGGAAGCAGGTTCGAAGCATTGTGGGGCCGATTTGGGGCTTCTCGGGGCCTCCTTTGGGCCTCTTGGGGGTCTCCTGGGGGCCTCCTGGCGGCCTCTTGGGGCGGAAGGCTCGAGCTTGCGGTTCGTGGTCCCCCTCTGGGCCCCCTCTTGGGCCCGTCTTGGGGCCCTCTTGGGCCATCTTGGGCGCCTCTTGGGCCGTCTTGGGGCCCTCTTGGGCTGTCCTGGGGCCCTCTTGGAAGCTTCTTGGGCCGTCTTGGGGCGGTCTTGGGCGCCTCTTGGGCCGTCCTGTAACGTCGGAAAGCCCAAAAGACAACTTTGTTGAAAATGTACGTTTTACGAAGGGAATGGGCCAATTTTTGCGTCTAGGGGCCCTCTTGGGACGCATGTTGGAGGCTTCTTGGGGCCTCTTGGGGGCGTCCTTGGACGTCTGGGGTCTCCTGGGGCCTCTTGAGGGGCCTCCTGGGGGCCTCCTGGCGGCCTCTTGGGGCGGAAGGCTCGAGCTTGCGGTTCGTGGTCCCCCTCTGGGCCCCCTCTTGGGCCCGTCTTGGGGCCCTCTTGGGCCATCTTGGGCGCCTCTTGGGCCGTCTTGGGGCCCTCTTGGGCTGTCCTGGGGCCCTCTGGGAAACTTCTTGGGCCGTCTTGGGGCGGTCTTGGGCGCCTCTTGGGCCGTCCTGTAACGTCGGAAAGCCCAAAAGGCGACTTTGTTAAAAATGTACGTTTTACAAAGGGAATGGGCAAATTTTTGCGTCTAGGGGCCCTCTTGGGACGCATGTTGGAGGCTTCTTGGAGCCTCTTGGGGGCGTCCTTGGACGTCTGGGGTCTCCTGGGGCCTCTTGAGGGGCCTCCTGGGGGCCTCCTGGCGGCCTCTTGGGGCGGAAGGCTCGAGCTTGCGGTTCGTGGTCCCCCTCTGGGCCCCCTCTTGGGCCCGTCTTGGGGCCCTCTTGGGCCATCTTGGGCGCCTCTTGGGCCGTCTTGGGGCCCTCTTGGGCTGTCCTGGGGCCCTCTTGGAAGCTTCTTGGGCCGTCTTGGGGCGGTCTTGGGCGCCTCTTGGGCCGTCCTGTAACGTCGGAAAGCCCAAAAGGCAACTTTGTTGAAAATGTACGTTTTACGAAGGGAATGGGCCAATTTTTGCGTCTAGGGGCCCTCTTGGGACGCATGTTGGAGGCTTCTTGGGGCCTCTTGGGGGCGTCCTTGGACGTCTGGAGGCCATCTTCAGCATCTCGGAGCCCTCTTGGAGGCCTCTTGGAAGTTTCTTGGGCCGTCTTGGGCGCTTCTTGGGCCGTCTTGTCTGACCGGGGAGGCCTCCGGCAAGCCCCGACGAGCGTCCGGGCCCCCCGGGGCTCACATTTGTGGTCGGGGTCCCGGCCCCGGGCCCCCGGACCCGGTGCGCCGTTATATGTATAAAAGTAACGGCATCCACCTTCCTAGCAGATCAACGGACCCGCTGGGACAAACGGGCACGCTGCTGCATAATGGAAAGCGTGGACGTATTCTTCTCGCGGGCAAGTGCCAACTCGGAAAGGAGACGGTCAATCCCTTGCTGACTTCGAACAAAGGCAGGCAGACCCAAGGCTCTCAAGAAAGGACAACCTAGTCTTAATGAGTTCTTCCTTGTCGGCAACAGTGACCATTGGTTCATCACGTTGGGCAAAAGGACCATCGTCATCCAAAATATCAACCTCGCACCTTCAAGTTTATCAAATACGTCAGGCCCAAAACGTGCACGGGAAGCATCAGACAAAGGAGCGTCAATGAACTGCTCATAAAACAAAGGCTGCGCGGTGCGTTTGGGCTCACAAGAAGTACGCTCAGCGGCAGCGGCAGACTTAGAAACAGCGGGAGGCACCCCTCCCACGGCATCGGCCGCCCCACGAGACTTTACCTTCTTGCCCTTGGCCTTCGTCCGTACCACCAGGGGAAATACGCTTTGCAGAACATACAAGTCCTGCCGGGACTGGAGAGGTATATCCAAGAGACGGCACCAGCATCGCAGCAGGCAGAGCAGGCAAGGTATGGCGGCATCTCGCGCGCGCACGCGTGACCCGCGAGGTCATCTGTCGATCAACGGCGGCTCTCGAGCCTGCCCCTTGGCTGCAGCCGAGCTCCAAGCCTGAGGGCAACGTTTGGAATTTGAGCCAACATGGCTACGAACGCGGGGGCGACGATGGGGGAGAATGGCCCAGGGGATAGCAATCTGCATCCAGGGGCGTCGATGGCCCATGATTTCGGCGAAGCTCCACAGGCGAATAGAAAGCCCGTGGAATAAGGACGCACGAGAAGGATGCCTCGGAAGGCCATGCCGACACTTTGCGAGCGGGGCGCGGCCAGCGAAAGCGGCCAGGGATGGGCCGAACGGGAATGATGCAAGGGTGACCTTGGAAGGTTGCTCATCCTTCCTGTGCAGGTTGACTGCACGTGCAATGCCAGCGCCTGGGCTAGAGGGGCTCGTCCACAAGAAACCTTCCACAAGAAACCCGAGACCCCGACGACGTCCATGCTTTTGTTGGGTGTGGGAACGCCACGCTCCCCATCGCAGAACCACCGAAACCAAGGAACCCCAGGGCACCCTGGAGGCAAGCAGGGTGTTTCTTAACATGGGCCCCCACTGTATTTTCGGGTGTTGCTAGAAGTGCCCCTGGCCCAAGGTACCCCCAGGATTGTCGGGGTGGCCCAGGCGGCCTCCAGAGCACCCCTCACGAGGCCCAGCGGGCCCCCGGGGGCTCCAAAATTAAGCGAAAACCTAGGGGCACCTTGGGGCAGGAGCACTTCTATCGGGTCCGGCGAAAGGGGGGGAACAGCAAAGGGGGGGTTTGAGAATCAGCTCACGTAGCTGATTTTCCCGGCGCCTCCTGGCGCCAGAGGCGGCCATGTATCGAGGAATGGGCCCCTCGGTGAGGCCGAAACCAGCTGCATGCAGCAGATTTCGTGATCCCCCCTTTCCCGATCCCCCCCTTGCGTCCGGCCCGATTCTAGCAACACCCCGATCGGCGCCGCCGAGATGCTGGGCCCCGGAGCGGTGCACACGGTGCCGCCCCGGCCGAGCCGCGAGGGCGTGTTGGGCGCCCGAGTTATCCGGGGTAACTCGGGTCCGGGGTAACTCGGGTTTGGATTCCCGAGAAAGGAACCCGAGTTAGCCCTGACCCGAGTTATCCCTGATGATTCGGGGCTCTGGACGCCCGAGTTATCCGGGGTAACTCGGGTCCGGGGTAACTCGGGTTCGGATTCCCGGAAAACGAACCCGAGTTATCCCTGACCCGAGTTACCCCTGATGATTCGGGGCTCTGAGATGCTGGGCCCCGGAGCGGTGCACACGGTGCCGCCCCGGCCGAGCCGCGAGGGCGTGCGCGCCGAGCCTGGGCCACGGGAGGGCCGGCCTAGCCAGGGTGGGCTGAACTTGCTCCACTCGGGGAGACGTAAGACCCGGGCACGGGGGACTCGGAAATCTCCGACGAGGTCGTCAAAAAAATGACGAGACCGAGCCTGCATTTTGACGAGGCCTCCCGCTGCAGACATCCCGCGAAACTCCTCCTCGTCAAAATCCGAGTCGCGGTCGTCAAAAAACGATGGCGAACCCGAGTCCCGGCAAACCCGGGTCTTACGCTCCCCCGATCCACCGTTGCAGGCGCTCACCGGTGTGCAGGAAGAGGGCGTCGGGCGACACCCAATTGTTGACGGGCCCAGGGCACGCAGATAAATAGACGCTGATCCCAGGATTCCCCTATGTTCCCATCTCTTCCAGGCTTCGCCCCCCCCCCCCCCCCCCCCCCCCCCACACACTTCCCAGAGTTTCCCACATTCCCCGAGGCATCGACGAGTAGTTGTGTCTTACATGCGTCCGTCTCTGTGCAAGAGGGTATTGGGCGGCACCCTTTGTCAACCCGATCCCCTCAGCAACCTCCGCGCCGTTCGGCCGCGACAGTAGCGAACGACCGCCCGATCCCTGGCTTGATATCCGCCCAGAGGGAAAGGGTGTCAACGTGACGCCCCCCGAAGGTCCGTGAACTCCCGCTCGGTCGCGTCTGGCTCGAGCAGCAGCACGAGCGGGGCGCCCCCGCCGGTCCTGCAAGGAGGGAGGGAAACAAAAACCAAACACGAGGCAGGCAGCAAACAAGACAAACGTCTCCTCATCTTTCTCCTCCACCTCCTCCTCTTCCTCTTCCTCCTCCTCCTCCTCCTCCTCCTGTTCCTACTCCTGGTTGTCCCTGATCCCGCGAAGGGCATTGCCAGACGCATGATTTCGCCCATGCGCCTCTCGGCGTATGGCTGGTTCGTACACTCGAGGGGGGGCCGCGCGAACACGTCCGATAGGGGCGGGCACGGGACTCCCTTCGTGGCACGCGGGGCGCGCCCGGGCCAGGGGGGATGCAATTGAAGGGGCCCCAGGACACACAAACAAATACACACAAATACAATGATTCCCCATATTTTCCCATATTTTCTGGGTTTCCGTCTTCCCCCCCACTCCCTGACTCATGCCAATCCGAAGAATCCGCGCAGGACTTCGGAAATTCGCCTTTTCGCTTGTGCCTCCGCTGAGGCCTCTGCGCGGGTCTCCCTAAGCTCAGGATTACGTCGCGATCTCCGCGCAGGCCTCCGAAAATCCATGCTTGTGCTGACTGTTTGTTCTTCGCGGTCCTGCTGAGCCGGACCGCGTCCACGGTCGTCCTGGGGCCGCTCGGGCCCAGGTCCAGCGTGCTCCACCGGACGGTCGCCGTCGTGCCCTCGCACTGCGCTTGGGCCGACTGCAGCGGTGGCGGCCTGATCTGGTGGACCACGCACACGGGCAGGGGCTCCCCGATGGAACCGACGATGCGACTCTTGGAGGCACAGAAGAGCCGCAGCTCGAACTCCCCCGACAGGCCCTGCGTGGCGCCCTCACGGCGGTCCGTCCTCGCCAGGAGGGGCCGAAGGAGGGGCTGGCGCAGGGGGGAGACAGAGGCACAGCATCGGTGATGCATCGCCGATGGACCAGCGCTAGGCCCCCGATAGCGACACCGTCCGCTCCCAGACGGGGTCGGGGGCCCCTGGCCCCTATCGGCGACGAGTTGGGCGATTGGGGGTCGAGCAGACCTCGCAGAAGAGAAACTACCCAAACACAGATATCGGGGCTGAACCTGGCGGGCGCAAGCCTGGAAAATGACGGCCGCGGCGCCCTCTCGAGAACCAAAAACGGACAATTCACTAATCGACGTGTCAGGGTAGGAGGTCTGTCCACCCCCGAAAATATTCAAGTCCGCGCGGGGTGCTTGCATGGGCGCAGGATCCCCCCCCTCCCCGAGGCGCGCGGCGCGCACCGGAGGCGGAGGCGCCGCCGAGAAGGCCCCGCGCAAACCCACGCTGTATGTCCTGATGGGACCACAGACTGGGCGTGACCTTTCTGCCAGATCTCGGGTCTCTGTGAAGGGGCCCTGGGACACACAAATAAGTACACACAAATAAAAGGATCCCCCATATTGTCCCATGTTTTCTGGGTTTCTGTCTTCCCCCCCACTCCCCATATTTTCCCATATTTTCCTGGGAATCGACGATTCATTGTGTCTGTGTGTTTTCCCCTCCTGAAAGAAGGCCCCACGCAAACCCACGCTGTATGTTCTGATGGGACCACCGCCTGGGTGAGACTTTTCTGCCAGATCTCGGGCATCTGGCTGCCGCTCGGGACGACTCGGGCCCCCCCCCCGGAGCGCACCCGCTGCTGGAGAGCATCCCGAGGCTGAAAGCGCCTGTGGGGACCTACGGAAACGTCCAACAAACTCCGTCCTCGAATCAGACACTCGGGCCCCCCCTCTCATTTTAGGGGCAACGAAAAGGGGCTTCTGGCATACGGGGGGGATGCATCGCCCTGGAATCGGCGATACATCGCCGGCAGATTGGCGACAGGACACCGCTGGAAACCCGCACCCTCCTGGGCGGGGTGGGGCTCTCGGGCCCCTGTCGGCTATCAAGGGGCGATTCGGGGCCGATGCATTCCCCCGCTGTGCCTGTCCCCCCCCTCTCGTTGCCTTTGATCATTACAGTCGGGGCGTTGACCTAAGGAACCCTGAATAAGGAACGAGGCTCCTATTTTCCATAAGTTGAACTTCGATTTCGTATCGAAAACCTGAGGACAATCCAGGGCAGGCCACGAAACAATCAAGGCACACGGAGCCCCTCCCCAACGAAAAGGGTTCCTCCTTCAGGGCCCCGACTGTACCCCTGACCTCAGCAGCGAGGGCATGGTGATCTCGACGCAGCCAGAGTGAGCCAGGGCGCCGCTGGCCTCGTCGCGGGGCAGGTCGGCCCGCAGGTTGGGGTCCACCATGCTGAAGGGCTGCTTGCCTGTGGCGACGCCGATCGACCGGCTGCCCCAGGGCTGGACCTAAATGTTGCTGCCCATGCTGTTTTTGTTTTGTGTTTCGTTTCGCTCCGCCTGTTTTGTTTCTAGGGAGCCCACAATCGACGCCCCCGCCAAACTGTGTGCATGAACGCGGCCCCTCGGTCCGCGAGACTGACCGCGTGATACGAACACTCGCTCTATGCGTACTCTCGGAACCAGCGTGGACTCATGTACGCATACGTCCTTCTTTCGCTCCTGAGTTTTCCTGCACCTCCATGCCAGGATTAGATCGGGCATATCCCCCATACAGGCAGATTGTGGAGGACAAAATCAATGATAGTCCAAATATACCCAAGAAGTAATCAACACATAATCGAAACATCGTCCCCAGACTATTTGACTCTTCTTGAATGATCCTCCTGTAGAGGGACATGCCCGCCTTACCCCAAGTCCAGCAAAGACGAAAACAAAACACGGCCAAAGTCCAGCAACACAGCGGCGTGGCCTGGGCCCCACTGGCCGATTTACCCCCCTAGATGGGGATATAGGCGGTCCCCTTCGGGTTTCGAAGGGTGTATCCCCAACTGGGGTGGTAATTTGGTGGGGGTCTCGAAGGGGATGAGGATAGGGACAGGGGTCGGTTGAACGAGACTGAACACAGCCGAAGTCCAGCAAAACAGCGTTTAGGCCCAGCCCTAGACTGCCCAGACCTCCTCCCGCCGAAAGAAAAGCTCGAGTCTGCGGGCGCCGGCTGGTGCAAAAGAAGGTCAGGCGCCGGTCAACGCAGGCGGTGGGACGCACTGATCAACGAGAGCGGCGGTCAGGCGGTGGTCAACGCATCATCATCATCAGCACCAGTATCATCATCATTACCATCATCATCCTCCTCCTCATCATCATCATCATCAGTATTATCACCATCATCATCATCATCATCATCATCAGCATCAGCATCAGCATCAGCATCATCATCATCATCATCATCAGTATTATCACCATCATCATCATCACCATCCCCAATTATCACCATCATCACCATCACCATCACCATCACCATCATCATCATCATCATTATCATCATCATCATCATCATCATCATCATCATCATCAACATCATCATCATCATTAAGTAGGGACGCACCAGATGCATATTGAGCCACCGATCGAGCATTGTCTTTGGGTGGAGGGCAAAAGGTGAAGTCCGAAATGCCGTTTCGAATGACTGTCGAGGTTCGAATCTGCAAACAAGGTGGATCCCAAGACGGCTTGACTTTCGATTTGCAGAGGCCCATATGGATTTCACCCTGAGCCCTCCACCCTAAGGAAATGCTCAGGCTGAGGCGAAAGAGAGAGAGAGAGAGAGAGAGAAAACAAAAAAAAAACAAGAAAAAAACGAGAGAAACCAAAGAAGGGGCCCGTTCAGACCGTGGAGGCCGTCGCGGGGGTGCAGGGGGAGATCACGCATCGTGAAAACATTGCGTTCCCCAGAGAGCACCTGATGATGAAGACTGCCATCTCCCCAGCTGGTGCGACGACGACTCCACCGTGCAAGCATAGTCAGAGGAGGCCGTCGGGATCGAGTCCCGAGCAGTGGCCAGGCCCACCCCGTTCGCGTGACGTCGACGAGACCC